GCATTTTTAGAGTCCGGTAGCGTAGGCTAGGTCTAGCGGGTACCAGTCTGAGTCTAGGGCCTGTAGGGGCAATATCAGAGTCTGCAATGATGTTCCCTCCAAAAATAGGAGGAGGTACCGGTTGCTTGGGAAGGCCAGCGGCCTGGAAGTCACCGCCCAAGAGGCAAGCAGGCCGCTATATCTTCTGGCCGTGCGGAAGACCCGGCCTCTTTTTCGGTGTGCAAGTTTGGCGACACACAGGTGGAGCGCTGGAGGGAGCAGCGCTGGGTTGAGGGAGCAGCGCTGGGTTGGAGCTGCGCTGCTGGGGAGGAAGAAGAAGGACATGACGGAGCAAGAAGGAGGAAGGAAGGAGGAAGGGGGAGGAGCGCCAGGGGTACTTACCTGGCTATGGTGACAGCCATCTTCATCACCTTGGTGGGCGCTGCTGCAAGGAGTCCCCAGCCGGGGGAGCTACACCAAGAAGCTTCAAGGCAGGGCTGGGCATGGCGGCCTGAGTGGGGGAGGCAGCCATGGCTATGGTGGACCTTGAGTGATACCTGCAGTAGAAAAGGGACTCGGACATGATTCTGGACCAGTCATTCAACATTGTATTACTATTTCTTGTATGAATAAGAGAAGGGGGAGATAAGGAAGAGGAGATTGTTGGGCGAAGAAGAAGAGCCTTGTCATTATCTTTGTTGGTGTACATCTTCTTCTTCTTCTTTCTTACTTCTTCTTCTTCTACTACTCCTCTCTCATCTCTCAAGTTCATTCATTTCTTTCTGCAATCGGATGGCTTTGTACTTTCCAGTGGATGTGTATCTCGAAATTGGCCAGGGTCATAACAGTAGGATGATATCGACATATCGGACTCCGGACATTTTACTGGGCAACTTTTGCCTGCAATGAATCACTTTGTATTTGCACTCCAATAAGATGCACCATGAGAGTTCACACAGAATTCCACATTGAAGTCAAGAGATGGAGAGACCAGATTAGTGCAGCTTGGAAACCTCAATGAATGACCATATTAATATATTATACAAAAAAATAGAGTTCGAGTCACATAGCGCCCAACAGCTGGTGCAGTCTTTCACAGTGTGGGCCACATGTACTTTTTCATCATGATTGAGGGTGCATTTCTTTTTGCATTTCGCTTTCGCTGCCTTTCATAGCGATGGTCTTTCTGTCTTTTGTATGATGCATGTTGCAGGTGCCTTTCTCACAGATCCTTGTCTCGGCTTTCTGCATGTTGTGTGTCTTACTGCCCCGGGCTCCCCCCCCCCC